GGAACTTACTCAGTAGTCCCATTGGCCTTGAACTCATTATTCTCCTGCTGTGGCTCTGGAGTGCTGGGGTGACAGGTTCATGTCTCTGTGCCTGGCTTCAGCCCTTCTAAGCAAAACACTGTCTGAATAGGTAGGTGTCAGAAATTATAGTTTATCCCAGATAGTAAAATGGTGCTGAAATATCCAGAATTAAGCTGTCATTCTTCCTGTCAAACAAAAATCTGTGTGACTCTGCTAAAACTCCATTCTTCTGTGCCCAAGGTTAATTTACTTAATCTGCTAAAAAGACTAAGAGTCCAGGTTAGAAGTTCTTCATTTCAAGGCATTTTAAATGCCAGGTTTATAGTCTCCCAACCTGCTATTTTTTCCTTCTCTCCACAGATGAGATAAAATGTCTCATCCCCATTTCTGTTTATTTTTTATAGACCAGAGGGTGTGTAACATTGCTAAGAGTCAGAGCTGCATGAATGAAGGGGTATTTAGGGAGACACAGGTGTAGCTGTGTGTAATGATACATGCCTGTAACAGCTACACAGGAGGCTGAGGCAGGAGGATCATTTGAGTTTAGGAGTTCAAGGGCAGTCTGGGAAACATAGCAAGACCAATCCCCTTCCCCAAATCATTAAATAAGGGATGGGATGGGAGGTGTGACTTAGAAGTGTGGACCACTTGCTACTTTTGCAGAAACCTGGGTTCTGGTCCCAAAACTCACACTGAGTAACTCCAGTTCTAGGAGATCTGATGCCCTCTTCTGGCCTCTATGGGTATCTGAATGTATGTGGTACATGTAAAGTCATACAGATACACATACACTTTAATAATAAATATTTTTTTAAAAAAATCAGTAAATAGAGGTTAGTTCCTTTTCCTGTATAAATCACATTGATTTCTCTCCATGTCCTTGGATTGGTGTGTAAGATTTAAAAATTGGCACCGCCGCTATCATCTTGTTGTTCATAAGCAAACACTGAACCTGTGGACAGAGAGCTTGACAGAGGACTACCCAAAGACTTCAGCCCAAGTCATTCTTTGGTCCAAGCAGTAGGAAGCAGCAGGAAGCATGTTGGCAGCAAGCTCTCGTTGAAAGAAAAGAAGACTTATGTGCTTATGTATTTTATGTATGTGGCAGTTTTGTTTGCATGCATGCACCCCAGAAAAGGGCATCAGATCCCATGGGACTATAGTTATAGTTATGAGCCACCATGTAGGTGCTAGGAATTGAATTCAGGACCTTTGGAAGAGCAGCCAGAGCTCTTAACTGCTAAGTTGTCTCTCCAGCCCTTGACAGTGAGCTCTTAAGCCCCCTAAAAATTGACTTAATAATGTATTTGCTTTTTAATCTAAATGTTTTTGTTCAAGGGAACTAAAGAGTTTTTAAAGGCTAATTATATTTTTCACTTTCATACAGAAAACATCGCCCACAAAGATCTGCAGGTAAGTTAAAGCACCCGAGGATGTAAGGCTTGTCCTGATTTTAACTCAGCTGGTAAACTGTTGAAGGAGGAATTTATTATGAACAGTCATGTATTTGTGCTTTGCTTCTTATTTTTAAAGTTATTCTCCTCTCTTTGCAATATTTTCTTTTTTGGAGACAGGGTTTCTTTGGGTAGTCCTGGATGTCCTGGAACTCAATATGTAGACCAGGCTGCTTCAAACTCACAGAGATTCACCTTCCTTTGCCTCCCAAGTTCTGGTATTAAAGGGTGCGATATTTTCTTCTGAGAGGAAAAACTAACCCATATTACATTTCTACACTGAGTAAAAGAAACTTCCCTAATTGTGCAGTAAGTGACAGAGAATCAAATGAAAACAACAAAGTGGGTCATTCCTGAGGATGACCTCTAGCCTGTACATGCATGTGTACCCTTCACAAATCTGTGTGCGTGTGCAAACACTTACATTTAAAATCATTTGCTTCATTGATTGTCTAAGTTGGGTTTCTGTTGCTGCAATGAGACACCATGTAACCAGAAAGCAAGTTGGGAGGAGATGGTTTATTCAGCTTACTCGTCCATATCACAGTTCATCCAAAGGAAGTCAGGATAGGAACTTAAGCAGGGCGGGAACCTGGAGGCAGGAGCTGAGGCAGAGGCCAGGAGGAGTGCTGCTTACTGGTTTGCTTCCCATGGCTTGCTCAGCCTGCTTTCTTATAGAATCCAGGATCACCAGCCCAAGGACAGCAGCACCCATAATGGGCTGTGCCCTTTTCTCATCAATCACTAATTAAGAAAATGCTTACCAAATGCCTTAATTCTAGCACTCAGGAGACAGAGGCAGGTGGATCTACAAAGTGAGTTCCAGGATAGCCAGGGCTGTTATACAGAGAAACCCTGTCTCAGGGAGAAAAAAAAAAAAAAGGTCTTACAGCTGGATCCTATGGAGACATTTCTCAACTGAGGTTCCCTCCTTTCAGATAAAGTTGACATTAAACTAACTGGCACATTGGGTCTTTATGATTTTTCCATGATGGTACAAGTGCGTCCCAGGGTCTGAATTGTGGTCCAGAGCTATGATCATAAATGGGTTTAAAAATGCCATGCCTAGGTCCTCAGCAGAGTATGTCCCAAGTCCCTGTACTTCCATGTCCTTGTTCTAACAGTGTTCTGTGGCTTGGACTGCCCTTCCCTCAGCAATGACTAAGAAGCCCTGTGCTGAAGGCAGGACACCAATGGAGTTGCTTTGATAAGGTGGGGTTCAGTTGCTGTTGTTGAATGTATTTCTGTGCTTTCATCCCATTCAATCTCCCTCTTCTTCTTTGGCCTTTAGTGCTTGAAAGAAAAAAAAATGTAAACAAAACCTTAGAACCCCTCCTTCTGTTTAGAAGGAGACTAGCTGCTGTGAAAAGATATTAGGACTCTATTGGCTGGCTTGTGGTGTGTGCACTTTGGAGGGAATTGTTGGACAAAACATGCAGCGAGGTGAGCTCTGAAAGTACCTCTGATTAGCTGTGGGTTTTGTTGTTGTGTTTTTGTTTGTTTGTTTTTTGAGACATCCCTGGCTGTCCTGGAACTCACTTTGTAGATCCACCTGCCTCTGTCTCCTGAGTGCTAGAATTAGGGCATTTGGTAAGGCCTCCAATTTGGGAGATCTGCCTGCCTCTGCTTCTGCCTCCTGAGTGCTGGGATTCAGGGCATGTACCACCACTGCCCAGCTGTGATGGGCTTTTGTAAGGGAATTTTTAAAAAGATTATTTACTAGGGCTGGAGAGATGGCTCAGGGGTTAAGAGCACTGACTGTTCTTCCAGAGGTTCTGAGTTCAATTCCCAGCAACCACATGGTGGCTCACAACCATCTGTAATGTGATCTGGTGCCCTCTTCTGGCATGCACTGTATCCATGATAAATAAATAAATAAATCTTTTAAAAATAGTATTTACTAGACACTAGACAGAATAATATAATGGAACCGTTGTATCTGTTTCCTAGCTTCAATGATTCTCAACTTACAGAGCCACCCACTGCCTCACTTCTGGACAACCTTGATACAAATCCCAGCACTGTAGCATTTCACCTGTATTTCAGGATTATAGGAGGTTTTTCTTAAAAAGCTTCTTTCCTGGGAAATAAAGATTAAATAAGAGGCGCTGAAGAGGTGGCTCAGAGGTTAAGAGCACTTGGTTCAATTCCCAGCATTTACATAGCAGCTCACAACTGTCTGTAACTCTAGTTCCAGGGAATCCAACACCCTCATACAGACATGCATGCAGGCAAAACACCAGTGTACATAAAATAAAAACAAATCATTTTTAAAAAGTATTTTTAAAAAAGATTAAGCAAGAATCTTACAGTGATTCCTACATTTACCCATTTCTATCTTTTTTGTATTTGTTCTGTGTCTTTCTACCTTCTCATATATATATGCCCATGTATATAAATATAGCAGTGTGTGTAAGAATATATATTTCATTACTCATGTTTTTCTAATCCACTTGAGAATAAGTTGCAAAGACCATAACCCTGTTCTTAAATACTCTGTATGTCTCCTAATGTCAGCCATCCTTGCCATAACTGGTTACATTAAAAGACTGGCATCGATAAGATGCTCTCATCTGACACTGAGTCCATGTTTAAATTACCATTTTATCTGTTATAACAGTTTTCCCTCCAGAATGGCATGTGTCATGCATATCCTTTAATCTTGGTCAATTTTTCAACTCTTCTCTGTATCTCTTTTTTTTATTTGCCGTCCCATTAAAAGTTTTTAAAACTATAATTATTTAGTGTGTGTGTGTGTGTGTGTGTGTGTGTGTGTGTGCTCATGTACCTGTGCCACATCTTATGTGATGTTTGGAGATCAAAGGACAACTTACTGGGTTTACTTCTTTCCTTCTACCATGTGTGGCCCAGGAATTAAACTCAGGTCATCAGGCTTGGTGATAAGTGTCTTTACCTTTTTAGCCAGCCTGGTCTCCACATTTGTGAAGGCTCAGGCCCATTGCTTGTGGACTGTGCCTATGTTTGGGTTTATTGTGTTATTTCCTCATGACTCAATTCAAAGCACATAAGAAAGAGCTACCACAGGCTTGGTACAGTGTCCTGAGTGCATCTTATCAAGAAGCACATGGCGGATACGCCCTGTTGTAGATGAGATCAATTGTTTAGACAAGGTGGTGATGGACAAGGACGGAATGCATTTTCCATGCTGCATTCACTTAGTGAGTGACATGGTTGTCATCTGATCTCCTAGTTTGGCTCTTTCATACCTGGGGGGATTGATTGTGACCAGGAATACTTTTGGGGTGAGCCAACTCTAGTTTTTAGGTACTCAGTAAATACTGGGCTTAGGAACAAGCTAGCTGAGCCACAGAGACGGAAATGCCTGACTATCAGCAGCACACATGACTGAGGTGTAGGTAGTGAGACTCGAAAGATGGTCAGGGCAGGGGTGGTCGTAGAGTCTCTTGGACACTTGCAGATTCCAGTGTGTGTGTGTGTGTGTGTGTGTGTGCGCGTGCGTGTGCCGCACTGTCTGAGACATGCTTTGATGTTGAAAGCTGAAGTTGCCTCTCTCGTCTGCCTGTTTACAGTGCCCTCTTCCTTGTGGCTGCTGCAGGGTGCCTTCCCTTTCAGGATGCACAGGTATGTATGTCCAGTGAACTCATGGTACTGTCAAAGACTCTTGTTTCTATGCCTTCCTTGTAGAATCATGATAGCCTGGTCTAGGAAAGATGTCCAAAAGCTATCAGGCTGGCTGCCTTGTGGCCCAGCCTATCATTTCTCCAGGCCTTAAATAGTGGCTCCTGGAGGCGTTCAGTCTGACCTGCCTCAGGAACCTATGGTCCCACACCTGAGTCACTCCAGCTTTGGATGCTCAATCATAGCTGATTTTCCTTCTCATCCTTAAGGTGACTTCTTCTGCAGTGTGCTTTCCACTGGCACCCTGTGCCCAGGCTGTTCATCTCATGAGGACTTAGGGGACCTAATCATCATCTCGTTGCTAGTTTTTTCCTTTCTCCCCTGGCATTCTCAAGATTCTACCAAGTGTCAGGCACTGAGCTGGGATGCAAGAATATAGACACTAGTCTGTTCCAGGAGATATTGAAGGCCATGTAGAGCGAGGGGGAGGGAATGGGCTTAGGCAACAGATCAATATAACACTGGGAGGGGAGGCCAGGCATCTGCCAGGGAGACACTGAGGCTGGAAAGCACCTAAGAGGCTCAAGGGCCCTAACAGTAGCTCACAGCTAGGGGGCTTGCCTTATGGTGGGCTCTGAGCCAATGATTTATGTGCTTACTTTAGAGTTCATAACAAAGGCTAGGGAGATGGCTCACTAGGTAAGTACTTGGCCAGAGTTTGGATTTCCAGTGCCCAAGTTTGTTTGTTTAAAAAACTGGGCATAATCCCAGTGCAGGGAGAATCCTAGGGGCTTCTAGTCAATGAACTTCAGGTTTAATTCAAGACCCTGTTTCAAAATAAGTTCAGCTTCCACATATAGGTGCAGGCATAAGTACCCACATACAAAACAAAACAAAAACAAGTTTGGGAACCAATGGAGGAATGCACCTGCTGTCCATCTCTGGCTTCCTATGTGCAACTATAGACTTGTGTGTCTGCACATATACCCATGCACACACAAAAAGAAAACAAAATCTCAACAGTTTTGAAAGGGTAGGAATTTTTTAAATCTCTGTTTTATAATTGAAGAGTTAGTGTGGTCCACATCAGCTAATAAGTGTGTATTTTAGAATTTTATCCGGAGCTTTGTGACACTGGAGCAGGCCTCTCCTGACCAGACTTAAATACAGAAGAGCAGGGTGGTTAACAGGAGAGACAGCAGGGTGACTCGGGGTAAGGAATAGCTATTCTGGGGTTTACCTATATGTTAGACTGTAGTATGTGTCCTCCTGCAGAGAGAGAGAAACAGAGAATAAGGAAACCATGAAGTGTTTGATGATGTTCAGTCTTCCATAAGACAACAGAACAACAGAGTAACAGAATAGGAAGGAATTGGTGTTGAAGTGGGGCAGTGAGAGACTGCTTGCCTACCATGTGGAATGCCCTGGGTTCTTTTCCCCAGCATTGCCAGGTAAATTAGTAAATAAGTACAACTCAGTCCCCTTGGCTGAGTTGAAGGGGAAGCATTCATGCTTGGGAAAATGCATGATGTCCTTGTTCTTTGGGTTGGGAGGCTGTAGATTTAACTGACGATGTTCTTGTCATGTCACTGGAGTTTTGGGGAGTTTCTTGGCCATCACCAGATGATACATAGGAAATAAGGGTTTCTTTTGGGGGTTCTTAGGCTTATTAATAAAAAACAACTAAGAGTGGACTCAAACAGAAACTGGAGAACAATTTTATTAGAGTTGAAAAGAACATCACCACAAACGAGCAAGCTGTACATCCCAGCAGCTGAATAGAATGCTGGAGAGAAGGGGTGGGGATGCTTTGTAAGTTAAGCAGCTGGTGTGGAGGTCATCCACAGGGCGGCAGACAGCTGCCATGGCTGAGGAGGAGCCTAGCATTAAAGAAAGAATTAAGAAACCCAAAGTGTCAGAAAAAGCATTTGTAGTTTCTGGACAGCTTCTAGAAGAAAGAGAAAAAAAGAAAAAAAATGCATCTGAAGAGATACCATGACCGCAGTAACTCTTATAAAGGAAAAAATTTAACTGGGGTGACTGGGTTACAGTTCAGAGGTTCAGTCTATTATCATCATGGTGGGACATGGCAGCATGCAGGCAGACATGGTGCCATAGCTGTAGCAGAGTCCTACAACAGGCAACAGGAAATGGTCTCCAACACCGGGAGTAGCTTGAGCATAGGACACCTCAAAGCCCAACCCCACATAACACACTTTCTCCAACAAGGCAACACCACTTCAACAAAGTCACACTTCCTAATAATGCCACTCCTATGAGATTATGGGGGCCAGTTACGTTCAAACCACCACAGCATCTTGCTGAGTTAGAAAGGGGGATACAGCTGAGCCCCATTGCAGGCAGTAGGGACAGTGCTGGAAGTGATAATTCTGGGAAGTAAAAGTACAGCATTCATTAAAAGGATAATTATTCTACTTGTCTTTTTAGCATGTTTTAAGGTGAGCCAGCCTTCCTTAAGTGGTCCTGCATCTCTGTGGGTAGTTCCCTGCCAGGTCTAGGACCCACCCAAGCAGATTACCTTTTCAGGGAGGAAACAGTGGCATGTCTCCATCTAGAGAGAGGTCCCATTCTTTACCACAACAGTTGTAGTGGTCCTTGGATGTCATGAATTTACATTTGAACATGGGGGGGGGGCAGAGGGAATACTAGAGAACCCACGAAGATGTTTGGGGAAATGGACTGATTCTAGGCCTGGGAAGGTTGCTCTGGAGTTGTTTGCTATGTTCACCTGGTCCTGACTGCGGTATAATTTATGTTTGTCTATAATTTAGCTTTTCCTTTCCTTTTTAATCCTGTGTTACAGTTTGACCCAGATGGATATTTTTGGGCTGTAGTTCACTTATTTTGTGTAGGTAAGTTTTTAAAAAAGTGTTTACTTAAATAATTGAGGACTGTTATTAAGCTCTTACTATGTAGACTTTTTTGGTGACCCTACAAAATATGAAAATTAAGATATTAAGGTTAAAGTTAGACATTCCTAGATTGTTTTTTCTACTTTGTACTTTTCCTCAGATATTTCCAATGTAATTTCTCTTTTGTGCCAAATCCTCTTTGGTTTGGGTTTTACTTGTAATGTTGGTTGGTCTTCTGTAAGAATAATGGGACTGCTCCACTAGGGACAAGCTCTTTATTGTGGGTAAGAAAGAAGATATTCACAGGCATTTGGAAGAGTCCAGAGCACAGAAGGAAAGCAGGTTGGATATGGCCAGGAAGAGCTAGGGGAGAATAGTAGAGATTATGGAGAGGGTGAGCATAACAGAAAAAGCTCAAGAGAACACATGAGTGGGAGAGAAAGCCCCAGGACATGGGGTTGGAGTTAGGGATTGGGGAGAGGATGAGGGGTGAGTAACTGCCTGGGAGAACTCCTTTTGGGGATGGAAAACCAGTTTCATAAGTTCCCAAGGAATGCTTGCTTTATCCTAAACCATTGGAAATCCTTCTATATAGTCTAGCTGGAGCTCATTTATGGACATATAGGCTACCAGAGAGACATTCAGAATGTCTTGTCTAAAGTTCTTTCAGTAGCAAACAAAAAACAGAAGGTGAAATGAAAAGACTATCTGATTTCATTTCAAGTCATGACTTCAGTATTTCTTGTTTGACTTTGCTGCAGTCAGAACTTGCAGGGGTTTCCCTTCTCCACATGCATCATGGGAAGGACATGAAACTGCACTGTTAGCAGTACCACCTGGTCACTCATGCCAAGTGCTTCCTGCTGGCGACGGAAGTCCTCACAGTAGCATGGGATTTGCATACCTGTAGCCTTCCAGTTTGTTTCCTTCTGTCAGTGTGTGTAATAGGGAGAAGGAGTCCAGTACCCTTTGGGGCCTTTTTCCTGTGAGATTGAAGAGCTAGCCTGCCTCCATTTTAGGCTTAAAAACCATCTTGTAGTAAAGACAAACTAGGCTCATTCCTGTTTATGGTTAAACCTCTGTTTCTTAAGGATTGGGCTATGCTGCACCTGTTACCTAACTACAAATGGTTCTATACTGCCTGTTCCAGGAATGGCAATTATATCTTTGTTTCAAAAAGTTAATAACCATTTTGCAACCCTACCTGTTTCGAAAGGGTTGTTATGACTACCTTGTTAAGACCACCATGTAATCATGTCTTTGTTTCAGGGGGTGTTAGGACTAACTTGTTATGTTCTGCTCCTATAACCCAGCTATTCTGCCCACCAAATACCCCCCCATTTGGAAACCCCCTACCCTTGAGCGCCTTGTCTTCCTCATGACTAGTGCTGACCTCTCAAACCCCTCTGTATGGGGAGGCAGCCCATATTTATGAATAAAAAAGCTTGCTTTAATTAATTGCTTGCTGTTGGACGGTGGTGGGATATGCCTTTATTCCCAGCACTCAGGAGGCAGAGGCAGGCAGATCTCTGTGAGCTCGAGACCAGCCTAGTCTACAAGAGCAAGTTCCAGGACAGCCTTCAAAGCCACAGAGAAACCCTGTCTTGAAAAAAAACAAAACAAAACAAAATAATTGCTTTCTTTAATTAACTTGGTCTTGATGATTTGGGTCTTTCCATCTTTGGAATTAACAAAATAGGGAGAAGGGGCCAGTGCCCTTTTGGGGTTTGGGAGCCCAGCTTCCTTTTTCCCTGTGGCTTTTTCTACTTTTCTCGAAGTGTGGGCAGCTCCTTAAACAAAAAGTGCCGTTGACTCGTGTGTCTTCATATCTAGGAGCTTACAAAATACTTCGGAAATCCCAGAAGCCCAGCGTGTTAAGGTAAGCTCTTAACATTTGGGGAGTTGGTTGGCTAAAGAGATGAGACCCACATGTGATACAGTCTTCCCCTTAAGTGAGAGATGCAGCTAGGAGAGCAGATGGCTCTGAAGCTGGCCCCCTTGCTGATTGGACCACTTACTTTTTGGGCCTCTTGTCACCTGCCTTTACCAATATGTGCTGAAGCAAGTAAGTCTTCTATCGTTTAGGCACAGCCACTTAGGGGGTAATTTAATGAAATGCCTATACCCCTAGTTGTTCCGGGTGTCACTTACTGCATCTAGCTCAGAAGGGCAACTTCTGTGTTCTTGTTTCCACCATCCCTAAAATTTGACTCAGTTTGCCTTAGTTTATATCTGGAAGTCTTTCTGGTTCCCAGTTTTTGTTGAAGATAGCCAATGAAACAGCCTTGGTGATTGTAAAATTTTAAAAATTAGAGTTAAGAATAAAAAAAGGAAAGGGAAGAATTCTTGTCTCCACTGAGCTGGGGCTTGAGTCTGGCCAGCTGGCCTCTGGGTCTGGAGACCCAGAAAGGAAGGCCTAGGGGAGACTCCCAAGCTAAGGAGCTGTCCCTGTGACTTTTACTTCTTTCATTCTTTGAGTGAAGAATTTTTACAGCCAGAAACCAGCAGAGGTAGGTGTGGTTGTGAATTCCTATAAATTCCTCTCTGTAAGGAAGATCTAGAGTTTAAGGCTTGACTAGGCTCCACAGAGAAACAATGTCTCAGAAAACAAAGCCACATCAAAGTACAAGATGCCCACTTAAATCTGAGGTTGGATGAGTAGCATGTGGTTCTTATAGTTTAAGTAAATACCATGTGGTATTAGAACATACACTGAGATAGGAGTTTTTAGCTGAATTTTGAATTTATTTGAGTATTCTGGATTTTAAAAGAGAAACATTGTTTATATGGTAAGCATATATGAGACGTGCTTGTGCCACAGTTTGTATGTAAGTGAGAAGATAGCCTTTGCGAGTCAGTTTTCTGCTTCTGCCATCAGTTCCTAGAGAGCAAACCGAGGGCCTCAGAATAGCAGTACCAGCTGAACTATCTCATAGGCCCTGGATTTATCTGTTAGGATGCCAGCTCTGGAAGCCAGTGCATCCAGTGGTCCAAGACAGTCGATAGAGTTGACAGCTGACATTCCTGTGAAAGTATCCAACTCACAGGTGGGAAGCAGCTGATCCAGGTAAGGTGTGTATTAGCACTAAACTAGCAATTGCGTTCAAAACAAATGGGCCCATTGGTGGAGGAGTCTAGAATTTGAATTTCCTGCTTCTTTAACAGTCACTTGCATGTCCATTGCTACAGTGGGCTTTGCCATTCTAACCTGACTCCTGGTTTGAGGGAGCTGGTTTATTCTTTACTTACCTGGATAACTAACTTGAAATGAGAATATACTTTGTTTGATCCTGAAAAGTATTGTTTTTGTTTTTAGTTTTGCTATGTCAGTGATCTAATCCTTCCTTCCTTCCTTCCTCCCCCACCTCCTTTCTTTCTTTTATTGAAATATTGCGTGAGATCATTTTCTCATACAATATATCCTGATTATATTTTCTCTGCACTTCCCCTCTGGACCCATTCCCTTTCTGTCTCATTAGAAAAGAACAAGCTTCTAAGAGATAAATAAATAAGACAAAATAAATTAAGATGAAGCAAAATCTTTCATATTGAAGTTAGACATAGCAGCCCAACAGGAGGAAAAAAGTCCCCCAACAGGCACAGGAGTTAGAGACCTGTTTGTTCTCACAGTCACGAGTCCCTTAAAAACACTAAGCTAACAGCTGTAATATGTACTCAGAGGACTTGGTGCAGGCCCTGTGCTTGCTGCTTCAGTCTCTGTGAGCTGCTATGCACCTTACTTAGTTCATTTAGAGGGCCTTGTTCTCCTGGTGTTCTCCATGCCTTCCAGCTAGCTCTTCTAGTCTTTCTGCCAACTCTTTCAGGGAATTCCCCAAGCTGTGAGGGGAGGCATTTGATAGTGACCTCCAATTTAGACTCTCTGAATGTGGGTCTGGTTGCTTCCGCTGGAGGGATGTCTGGCTGTGGGTCTCTGCTGCTGCTAGAGGAAGCCTCTCTGATGATGACTGGACAAGGCACTGATTTATGAATATAGCAGAATATTATCAGTAATCAGTTTTATCTGTCTGTCTATCCATCCATCCACCCATCCATCCACCCATCCATCATCTATCTATTGGCCAGTTGTGTTTGGTTTTACCTTAGGTAAAACTGTTTTGGTTTTACCTTAGATATTTACCTTACTTAGGACTATCTAGTCCCTGATTCTTGGTTACCTAAGCAGTGTTGGGTATGGGTTCCTGTTTGTGGAGTAGGCCTTAAGCCAACTCAGACATTAGTTAGCTGTTCTCACAGTTCTGTGCCACCATTGATGCCTTAGAATATTTTGCTGACAAGTCAGATTGTAGGTGAAAGTTTTTGTGGCTGGGTTGGTGTCCACATTTCTCTTTCCATAGTTTGCAGAGTTCCTTCTCAAACCAAAGAGATAAGAATATAGAGGTGAGGCACCATATAGGCATCAGCTCTCCATGTTCAATGAGTTGTGTGGAATTTAAAAAGTTATTTCTGGTCAAATGGCAAGAATTGGTCTGAAATACAAAGTACTTCTCCTTTTGATAATTTATGAAGTCAGTAACTTAGAGGTAGAATTTATTAATAGAGGATAATGACCATCTATAGATTTAAAATTTCTTTCCATTATTTTGTGAGTCTTATCTTTTTTTCTCTCTAATTTTTCAGTGACATTGACCAGCAGTACTTAAACTATATATTCAGGTAAGACAGAATTTACATTTTTCAAGAATAATGTGTATATTGCTTAGAGATGAGTTTTTGTTTTCCAGTGAGATTTTGATTAGAGAATTTTAAACAAGTTGGCCTGCTAGGGAAGCAAGTTTAAAATTTTGTGAGTTGATCACGAAGAGTCCAAATGGTTGTCCTACCCTTAGCCTAGACAAGAGGATCCTGTTTGGTCTTGAGCTTCAGAGGCCCTACACATACCTCTGGAGAGTGAGGGATATTTATTTTTGTGCCCACACCTTTGCTTCTAGACTGCATCCTGAATCTCCCATACACGTGGTCCTGAGCTGGCTTTTGACTTGGTTCCCATCTTTCCAACACGCACACACGCACGCACGCACGCACGCACACATGCACGCACAGGTTCAGAGAAGAGAGCCAGAGGCCAGATCCCGCTGATGTGAAGTGTCAGATACTCAGGTTTCTAAATTTTAATCTAGACTTTAGGCTATTTGCATGGTGTATTTGTTAAGGTGGTTAGTCAGGTCTGGAGCTTAATCTATAACCTTTTAAGTGTGGTATATGGACTCCTGTGTGAGCCCTTACCCCAGCCAAGCAGAGGATGGGCCATCCTGCTATATGGGATAGCTCAGGATGGTTCTTGGGCTTTAGCAGTCTTAGTCTATTCTCTGCAGAGACTTGACTGAGACAGTGAGACTTGCTGCTGAGGAGCCAAGTGTGCCTAAATACAGACTTTCCGTGAGAGGACTGGGTTAGGTGTATAACTTAGCACATGGTGGCGATGATTTCTGATGAAGTTTGATGGGGGATGTCCTTCTGTGTATATGTTTCCTCTTATTGGTTGATGAATAAAACACTGTTTGGCCAATAGCCAGGCAGCAAGGATAGGTGGGGCTACGAGAGGAAGGAGTGAGGAGAAGACAGGGAGGCTGCAGAGAGAGAGCCTCCATAGTGGAGGAAGGAGTAACAGGTCTGGACCCTTCTCCAGTAAGATAAGACCACATGGAAATACTTAGATTAATAGAAATGGGTTAATACTTAAGACAGAGCTAGCCAATAAGAAGCCCTAGTCATGAGCCAACAGTTTTATAATTAATATAACATCTGTATGTTTATTTGGGGCAAAGGGGCTATAGGATCAGGATGGAAGAAACTCCAGCAAGAGAAGTTACTTGATTTAATGGCATTCAGCACTCACTGTAGCCCCGTTTTCACAGAAATCTCCTGTTGTACAACTCAGCCTAGCAGTTATTAAAATACCCTTTAGTATTTTGATTTTTAATTAGGTTGTATGTGTTCATATGTGCACATACATGAAAACAAGTACTGGCAGAGGCCAGAAGAGGATGTCAGATCTTCTGGAGTTAGAATTATAGGTGTTTGTGAGCCTCCTGATATATGGGTGCTAGAAATTGAACTCAGGTCCTCTGCAGTACACACTAACCACTGAGCCTGTTCTCCAGCTATGTTTTGAATGTAAAATTCACTCAAAGCATGGCTGTTTGTTACTTTTAGCCTCAACTGAAAAAAAACAAAAACAAAAACAAAAACAAAAAAACGGAAAAAACCTAGTCATTCATTCTGCTGGTGCTGTGTGTTGTGCATGTGTGTGTTCATTTTAGAGGTCAACTTCTGGGATCTTCCTCTGTTGCTTACCTTATTTTTTGAGACAGGGTCTTTCACCTAATCTGGAGCTACCCATTTCAGCTAGACTGGCTGGAAACCCCTTGGGATCTGCCTGTTGCCAGCCTCCAGTTACTGGCTGGATTTTAAGATACTTTTCCCCCCAAAATGCCTATGGTTCTAGGTATTTCAAAATGTTTCCCAGGTCTACAGTTCAGTGGTATAGTACCCATCATGCACTAGGCTTTGAGTTTAATCCTCAGTTGGGTCATGGTAGGTAGTTCTGCATGAAAGATATATGCCATGCAGCAGAGGTGTAGCAGCATGGAGAAATGAGCCCCTGTGGTCCTCGGCTCTTATTATGTTCTTTCTCCTTCTGTCTGCTATGAGGATATTTATTGCCTTCCACCCTGGTACTTGGGACTTCCTGACTGATGCTGTGATGCATTCCAATAAAGCACCAACTCTGTCCAGATTTGCTTTGTTCAGTAAAGTGGTGAAGATGTTTGAATCAGAATGAGGACTACTTTCCCACTGGCCATTACTGCTTGATGCTGGGAAATCGGCATCCAGAAATCTGCCCTCTGCTCAGATTTATGGTTATCCCTGTCAGGGCCAGTGTGGGGCACTGCCCACCAGTGTAGATTTGTTTTGGTCTGTCAGTATTTTGGGAGATGCAATAGGTGGAAGTGTCTTAGTCTTTGGCAGATATTATTCTCCCTTCATTGAGAATGCCTTTGCTCCCGACTCTGACTGTTTGCTGTTCCCATCATATACTCCCACTACCAACACACTTGGAAGTGATTATTTGTAGCAGAACCTATTTTGAGCATCTTTTGTATGCCTTATACTGCTATGTTTGAGACCCAGAGGTAAATAAAACATGGTTCTTCCCCTGAAAAGGTACAGTGTGGAATAAGGAGAGAGCTAACACCATTTTTAAAGTTCAGAAAGACAAACAAGGCCATAGTACGGGGAAAGGTTGACTAGACAACTGAAAATAACTGGAACTTTTAAATGCAGGTGTGCCTTCTGTCTACATTTTGGAGAATTTAAGTAATAGGTGAAAATGTCCTTGTATTGTAAATTCTTTTTAAATGAGTTCTCCCAATGTATAAAATATAAAATTATTACTGCAATGTTGCTAACACATTCTCTACTTTGTTTTTTGGGTGAGATTATGCACAAGTCTGTCAGTGGGAAATGGACGGTTATTCTCTAGGGTGTGACTTGGTGAGACAGAAAACATGCAGTCTAGTGTTTAGAGATCACAGTTCCCCTAGGTCTTTGTGGTACATTTCCTAGGAGCACTGAGATGGTTTCCTATTTGCTGTTTTGTTCTAACACTAGGACATTTCTGGCCAGGCTCAATGGCTCTGACCTATGTCATTTATAATCTTAAAACTCTAAGGGGTTTCAAATTTTTTTTTCTTCTCACATGTTCTTACCACAATACAATTAGAGGTGTGATTGAGTCCATTAGGACCTATATTGATCAGCAGTAGTGTGCATGATTCCTTTTGATTCCAAGATGAGGAAAATATGGCTCTGGTCTCCCAGGAGGGCACAGCACAAGTCTGCGGTCAGGCTGGGTTTGTGAAACTGCAAATGGGGATTAGGGAGTCAATATTTTTACCCAGATAGAGTGATCTTGATAGTATTTAAGGTACCATGGCACCATGGCAGGTCCTAGGAGATATTTTA